TTCTCCTCCTGCTGATTCTGCGACTTGACCGACCTTGAGATTGTCGTCGATCAGCTGCTGCACTTCGGGGATGACGAAAAGGTGGGATCGTCTGCCCCATCCCGATCCCTCGCATCCTGTACGCCCCCTGCGCGTAGTCGCGGAAGGTCATGTCCTTGCCGAGGGTGAGGACGGCCTTGGCGTTGAGGCAGTGCTGTATGTCCATCCCTGTGGTGTGAACCTGATCGTAGAAGGCGAACCTTCTTGCCTTGTGGATGTCGCACTGGTTCAGGGGCACTACCTTGTGCCCGTCCCTCAGCAGGATCATCTTCCTATCCAGCTCATCGAGGAACACCACTCCCTCTGCCCAGCTGAGTCCGGCCTCGATCAGATAGCTCGCCACCTCCAGGTTCGTCATGCCTGTGATCAGGGCGCCGGTGTCGATGAGCGCGTGATACTGCGGGTCCGAGCTGCTGGAGATGAGGTCGAGGAGGCTCTTGACGCTCCAAGGGGACTCGATCATCAATAGCTGTGATGATGAGCAGGAGGAGGCAGAGGAGGAGGTGGTGGAGGAGGAGGAGGAGGAGGGGGGAAGAAGGAGGGGGAGGGGGAGGAGGAGGAAGAGGAAATAGAGGAATTTGATAAAGATCCTTGACGACTATGTGAATCAATTGTGTGAGATGCTTTCAACGTTTAGATGTCAGGATGACCTTGACGAATATGATGTTGCTACAATTGAAGCCTCTGGATTACGTAAGTATCAAGAACCCACAGAACGGAAAATCGATTTCGTGTGCCCTAATGCCCACGGATGTGGGAGAATCTTCTGCATCAGAACCATGGATCGCGCTACATCCTTCAGCTCTGCTACTTCTTGAAATGAAGGTCAGGAAGCCTTTACGACTACTAAGGTTCCTCACCAATAGAGCAGGAAGGGTCGGGGGTGTCGGTTGAGCGATTGTTGCAGCAAACAGTTGTAGATTCAAACTTTGAAGTAGTCTTCGAGGAGGTGTCATCCGACAAGTTCCATCAAGTGAAACATTCACAATCGACATTATGGTCGTTGTCTTGTCAGTTTCTAATCAGATGCTGACACATGTATTACCAGGTTTGACGAGTTTGTGCAAAAGACATTGTGGGGAATGACTGTAACAAAGGACTCCTACATCCCATTACCTGGGGTATCAGGGACCTCAACTTTGCGATTCTTGCGATTGCATACGGTAACTCATGTTTGATGTTTGCATGTCTTTTCGTTTTTCTTCTGACGTATCTCCTTCTCTTCGCTTCTAACACTTTTTCCTTCTTCTCCTTCTCCTTTTCTCACATTCTCTCTCTCGTCCTTCCCCCTCTCCTCAAAGATTGCAAGTCAAGTAGGTGACTTCGACTACAACTCCTTCGGAGACCGCGAATGCTTCACATTTGCTTTGGGATGCAAGTTCAACCTCAACGGGAAAGGGAATGAAGGGCAGCTGTCATGGAGCAGGAAATGCGAACTGAGGGACATGGTAAAAACATCACTTTGATGTCTCATTGTGTGTGTAAAGGAACACAGACATCGTCTATTCTGATGAACGAGAACAATTGGCTTCCACAAACTCATGCTCACCAAATCGCCCATTCTATTTCGAACTTATTCATGACATCAACTAGTAAGAATGCAGAAGTCACTCTACGACTTTTTGTAACCTTTCCTTGTAGTCCCAGGAAAGAAAATCCCAGAAATCGACGCCACAGGCAAAGCAAGCAAGGTAAGCGGGAATGAGACGACGCTGAAAATGAGTTGAGCCGAAGGGAATGAACTACAATCACCTTGTTCCGAGAGGACTTCTTATCTGCGCAAGGAATGGATTTGGGAAGACTTCGATTCTGAGAGTCATTGATTGGGCAGTAAAGCGATGTGGGGTGAGAAAGATGCAAACACTTGGTGAGCTCTGACAACCTGCAGTTCAAGTGCATCATGATCGATGGTGGGGACTTGCTGCTTCATTCGATGGAAATGTGCTTGCGATGTGAAACGATTGTTCTGACTTGGACATGCAGAGGGGAGGTTTGGTCGACGACTACGACAGAATATCAGACTATCTCAAGAGCTTCGAAGTTGGGGACGGTGAGGAAACGGTGATATGATTGAAGTCGGAGTGAAATCTGATGAGCAGGAGCAACATTGATCATTGACGATCTTCATCTTTTGTTTGGTAGCAACACATGAATCAATCGTTTTCAAGGGATGTAATTCTCATGCCAGATCACGAAGACAGAGGGACGTTGATACAACAGTCAGTGTCAAATTCATTGATGTCTCTCATCCGTACCAGGCCCAGACAAGGGAACAGGTGATATCAATGGACTTGCTCGGAGTCAACTGATTGTTGTTTTATCCTGTATTGCTCACCAGTCAGAGTTGTTGTATCATAGCTAGCTCAAACACCACGGACTCCATACCTTTCTGGGCGAGAAGGTCGTCTAAGAGCAACAAGATGAGATGGTGATTGACTTGGAGATGGCAGAGCTTGTGGACTTGAGGACATCATAACTCTGCGGGCAATCCATTCTCACCATCGGGAGGAAGGTGATTGACAGCCATCCATGTCTTTCTTCACAGAGTTCAAGCAGCGTTGAGAAGCATCGCTTCTGCTCACATCCCCAGCATCTCACACGCCAGCAGCGCAAGTCCAGTCGACGAGGCCTCGCTCCAGGCAGCGGCTGCGGTGGGATGATCTCGCTGCGTCTGCCTGGTGACGTCATGCCGTCAGCTCTCGCATGGCTTCGGCATGTCGCACATGAACATCCTCCATCGGTACGCAATGAACTCACTCAGCTCAGGTCCTTGTGAGCTCAACCCTCCCGCCCTCACCAGATCCCAGGGCAAGCAACGGGCCACGTGACGGCAGGAAGAGCAGAGGAGGAAGCGCCCAGCAATGCAGACCTGTGGGTTGGAGGATGGAGTGAGGGCATGCGCAAGCTCTCAGTCTGCAGCGGCTCGCACGTCTCCTCTGGTTTCGGACGAGTTGGTGATAGTCGCCGCCCCTGTAAGTCACACTGACAGTCATCCAGACGCCGCGGCGACCTGGGAGGAGGTGAAGGGATACGAGGCGATTCGGCGGAGGATGCAGAACCTGGTGAGTGAGAGGAGGAGGATGAGAAGGTATGAGGCGGGGGGGGGGGGGGGGGGGAGGGGAGGGAGGAGGAGGAGGAGGAGGAAGCTGCTCATTCTGCTATTTCAGGTTTTGGATCCGATCGTTCACCCTGCCAAGTTCAAGAGGCTCGGCGTCGAGCCCATTCGCGGTCTCCTCCTTGCAGGGCCCAGCGTGAGAAAGATACTACTGCCCCTGCTTCCCCTGCTATCATCCTTCCTGCCTCTGCTGCCCTCCTGGCCCTCCACATCTTGAGGCTCCTCAGCAATGCACAGGGTTGCGGGAAAACCTTTCTAGCGAGCTCACTTGCAAGTGCTTGTCCTTGTGCGAACATCTTTGTGAAGGTTTGTCGCTGTTTCCCCCATTCTGATCCTCGTCATCTTCCTAGCTTTGTCCTCCCCTCCCCTCGCCTTCTCTTCCCTTCCTCCTAGACCGCATTTAATGCAACTCTACTTGCTGCTGAGGTACTCGCAGGCTCCCACGCTTCTCAAGCCATTCCTAGGAGAGAGCGAAGCTGCGGTGAGTCCTGAGGGAGGGGGGAAGGAAGGGGGAAGGAGTGGTGGATGGTAACCATACCAACAAGGTCAAGCAAGTTTTCCAAGAAGCTCGCGAGCTCTCTCCTTGCGTAGGTACGACAACTCTCACATCTCCTCTCATCCTCTGAGCGTGAGATAGTCGTACTGGACCAGCTTGACGCTGTCGCGATCAAGCGCTCCCTGCAGCAAGGCGAGCAGCAGGTCTACCGATGCTCTTGCTGCGACTTGTTCATCCTGTTGTTCAGGCTCAGGGCGTGGAGGCTCGCGTCCTTAGCACCCTTCTCAATGTAAGCGACGAGTTGCTCGGATGGTCTTGACGGGGACGCAGGAGATGGACGGAGTGAGCGGGGGAGGTGGGCATGTTGTGCTCATAGGTAGACGAGGAGAGCTGAGGGTGCGGCTGAAGCACCGCAGGCTGTGTGAGGGACAAGAGCATGCTTGATGAAGCTCTTCTGCGACCCGGACGGTTTGACGAGACTGTAGGGGAGAAGGAGGAGACGCTTGCTGCTGATCCTCCTGCAGGTCGAGCTGCCGATGCCGGACAAGACGAGCAGAGAAGAAATCTTCATGCAGTGCTTGCAAGGACTCGACATGGAGGTACCGCACCCCTGAATTCTCTTTTCATCCTGTTTGCTTCTGCTCCTTGCTCTCTCCTTCCTCCTTCCTCTCCTCTAGGCGACTGGGATTTAAGAGCTCGAGCAGGATCAGGATGCTATGCGACAGCTGACGCGCTCAGACGAGCTTGACGAGTCTCTCTCTGTTGCTCAGCTCATCTCCGTTGCTCGAGCTGCCATCATCGCAGCTGCCCGACAGGTCCCTCGGTCGCTCTTCCCCCTCCTCCTCCTCACGCTGCGATGTAGAACGACATGCTGCGGCTGTGCTACACGAAGAGAGCATTGGAGGAGCACTTGGAGCAGGAGAGAGGTAATAATTTCCCAACTCTTGCTCTCCCTCAACATTTTCCAACAGGTTTGTGCAAGCTGCGAGGCAGGAGAAGAAGAGCGTGAGGAAGAGATTCTTAAACTTAACCATCCCGTCTGATTCCTCCTCGCGTCTTCCTCCTCGCGTCTTCTTGTGTTTCTTCTCGTCACTCGCCTTGTTGGTCTTCTCGTCTCGCGATCATCTTCTCTTCCTCCTCCATCGCTTCCCATCTCTGAGCCTCTCGATTCTCAGTCGCCTTTCCACGCCTCAGTCTTTGCTGGATCCCCTCGTACACGCCAATTCAAAAACCGTGGAGGGGCTGCCCGGTTTTAGTCGAGGAGGGACTGCTGGCCCTCGTCCTTCCTCATGAGGGGGAAGGCGATGACGTCGCGGATGCTCGCGGAGTTGGTGAGGAGCATGATCAAGCGGTCGATGCCGATGCCAAGCCCTTGCGGTCACCGTCACGACAGAGGCGAAGCAGCAGACAAGACAAGACAAGACAAGACAAGACAAGACAAGACCCGCACCTGCTGTAGGAGGCATCCCATACTCGATCGCCATCAGAAAATCCTCGTCAACGTCTGAGCCAAAACCATCAGAGAAATGCTAAACATCGCATACTCCTCCTCCCCCTCCTACTTCTCTCGCTTCTGCACCCATCTCCTCTCTCTCCCTCCTCCTCTTCTCGATCATCTCGAGCCTCTGCTCTGCTCGTCGTTGCTCGCTCTTTCCTCTCCTCACCGGCGGCCTCCAGGTCTCCCGCGGCTTTCTTGGCGGCCTGCAGCTCAAATCGCTCGCGCTGGTCCACCGGGTCCGTGAGCTCCGAGAAGGCGTTGGCGAGCTCCCGCCCGTAGACGAAGAGCTCGAACCTCTCGGTGAGCCCCTCCTGCTCGACGATGAGCGAGACAAGGGGAGTGGTGGTGGGTGGGGGATGGGGAGCGAGCAAGCAAAGGAGCGAGCGATCGAGAGGGAGGGATCGAGCGAGCGAGCAAGCAAGCAAGGGAGGGAGGGAGGGAGGGAGGGAGGGACACCTTGGAGCGATGAGGCTTTGCAAGAGGAGAGATTTCAACTGGATGTTCGGTGACGAAGGTGGGCTGGATGAGAGAAGACTCGGCCTGGGGAAGGTCAAACGAGGAAGAAGAAACCTGAGACCTCACCGTCTCCTCGAACACTAGGTTCAAAAGCTGACCCACTGACCCTGCCTTGTCTGCAAACAAGAATAAAACCGAAACACTCCTCCTTCTCCTCTCCATCCTCGTCCTCGTCCTCGTCCTCGTCCTCGTCTTCGTCATCTCTCCCTCATCGACTCTCATTCTCTCCATCTCGCTTCGATCCATGACATCTCTTCTATCGTTACTCGATGTTCTCGTCTCACTCCCTGTGATCTTCTCCTCACCTGCGTCAGGGATTTTGAGTTTCTTCGCTTCTTCTCGAGCTTTCTCAAGGTCGCCTCGCAAAGACTATTGCAAACAAACTTCAGTAGGAGAAGAGACCAAGAGAGAAAGATGAGCAAGTTGAGGACGATGAGGAAGTTGACGAAGAACAGATTCTTGAAAGATGTGGAGACAGAAAAAGTCACAGGAAAAGAGCTCACATACAAGTCACAGGAAAAGAGCTCACATAGTCACAAGAAAAGAGCTCACATACAAGTCACAGGAAAAGAGCTCATATACAAGTCACAGGAAAGGGTTTAGGGTTTAGGGTTTAGGGTTTAGGGCTCACATAGAAGTCAACGCCAGTAGCATCCTTGACAAGGTCGTTCATGCTAGCTCGCCGCCACGGTCTCTTCAGCGAGATCTTCTCGCCCTGCTCTCGTCATGTCACTTTACAGTCACAAGCTCCTTGGCTTCCTCCCTCTCCCTGTCTATCTCGCTCCAGTCTTTCCTCCTCTATCCTCTGCTCTTCACCTGGTAGTCCAGCTCCAGGGTCCCGCAGACGTCCATGGCAATGCCGCAGATCATCTCTTCCACCAAGTTCATCATGTCTTCGTAGTCCGCGTACGCCTGCACGTGCAGCCGTCAGAGGAGGAGGAGACATGAAGAGAGGACAAGGGAAGGGGGGTGGGGGGTCAAGAGGGAGATGAGGAGGTAAAAGGAGGAGGGTCAATGGGGAGATGAGGTAGGAGGAGGGGGGTCAAGGGGGTCAATGGGGGCATGGAGAGCATCTCGCCTGGTACAACTCGACGCTTGTGAACTCAGGGTTATGCCTGGTGCTTACTCCCTCGTTCCTGCCGGGGGGTGAGAAGAGATGCGAGAGAGGGAGAAGGTGAGAGGCAGACATGAAGCAAGCGAGGAGCAGGTAAGAGGAAATGGTCGAGGAAAGGAGGAAAGAGGGTAGCAGGTAGAAAGATAATGAGAAAGAGGTTGCGAAAAGAGAACGTTGAAATCGAAACAAACGCGGACACGAACCTGAAAATTCTTCCGAGTTCGTAAACTCTTTCAATTCCACCAACAACAAGCCGCTTCAGATGCAATTCTACGCTTTGAGTCAGAACATCCTCCTCCTCCTCCCCTTCATGGACGTCACCTGTCGCTATTCTCATGTACAACTCCATGTCAAGCGCGTTGTGATGAGTGATGAATGGCCTGCATGACATCTCACACTCCCCAGGTCATCCTCTGCTCTGCTCTCTTCTCCTTTCAATTTTCACTTGATGTTTCATCCCCTCATGCACGCAATGCCTTCGCTTTCCCTCTCCCTTTCTTTCTTCTCACCTTGCATCTGCTCCTCCGATCTCAGCTGTCAGGATGGGAGTCTCGATCTCAAGATATTCTCTCTGGTTAAGGTAGTCTCGGATCCCCTGAGATAGTCGTCAACTTCTCCTCCTCCTCCTCCTCCTCATCGTCCTCCTTCTTCGTCCTCGTCCTCGAACTCGTCCTCGTCCTCGAACTCATCCTCGTCCTCGTCCTCCTCTCTCGCTCTTCTCTTCGTTCTTCAGCTCTTCACCTGGATGATTTTTGCTCGCCGTCTGAAAGTCTCGCGCACTTCAGGGTTGACGATCAGGTCCACGTATCTTCTTCTGTATCCTGAGAAGCCGTCAATTATCTCCTCCTCCTCCTTCTCTCCTCCTCCAATCCCTTCCCCCTCCCTTTCCTCCATGCTCCCTCCCTCCCTTTTGTTCTTTCGACGCTTTCTACTCCCTCCTTCTCCTCCCTCCTCTTCTTTCCCCATTCCTCTTCCGTTGCCTCCTCTAGTTTCACGTTCCCTTTCGTCGTCCTCCTTCCCTCCTCTCTCCTCCCTTCGTCCCTCTGCTTACGGATGTTGATGTCGGTCAGCCCCTTGTACTTGTCAGGGAGGGGAAGGATCGCCTTGGTGAGGATTGAAAATTTTTCTACCACAACCTGCCAGCTCTGAGTGAGATGGAAGGGAAGGCAGACAAGAGAGGAAAGAGCGAGTTCAAGCTGCAGACAAAGACAACAAGAGGGAGAGAACGAGCAAGCGACAAGTGGAGGAGACAACGAGAATGAGGTGAGCAACCGAAAGTTCTCCCTTGTCTGTCCGTTTGATGCCACCAGAGACTCCCAAGAAATCTCCGACGTCAACGAAGGTCTGAAAACAAAAGAAGGTCAACGATGAATGACATTACAATCGAATGAGGTTCGGAAGAAGGTTTGGAAAGGAGAAGAAACAAAAAGAGGAGAAGAAGAGGTGTGAAACAAAGGAAAATAGTAGAGAGAAGATGGAAACAAGGATATGCAGAAAAAGAAGCAACAAAATGTTTCCCGACCTTGAGATCATCAAAAGAATCTTCGTTTCCTGCTCCATTGATGATATCCTGATCAATAGAAGCCATGAGTAGAAGTGAATTCGAGTCTCAGCACTAGCTTTCTTCATATCAAATATTTCTTCTCCAGGACAAGTGACTCATTATTCCTTTCACTTCTTCACCGTCTCCCGCAAAGTCATTCTCTCCCCCCCACTCTCTTCCTCTACAACCGTTTCCTTCTTATCCCTCACATCGAGCATCATCGAAAGGATTGGCAGAGTCTGTCACCTTCTCAAGGTAGAGTTGGATGGTTCCGACAGAGTCTGACAGAGTGTAGAACGCAAGTTTGCCAAACACTCTCTTTGCCATCACCCTGCCAGCAATCGACACCTGCTCAAAGTCGTTAGCACGATCACACCACTTTCATTCCTTTCACATCTTCTCCCTCCCTTTGCACTCCACCCCTTCTGTCTTGACCTGAGCATTGTCGGCAGTCTCTCCGTTCCCCAAGATAGCATGCATGTCCTTGAGTTGGTCGGTGGAGTGAGAAACTTGAAACGAGTACTCGTAGGGGTTGATTCCTTTTGCTCGCAGCTTCTCCGCCTTGCCCATCCTCACCGTCCGTTCCTCGCGTGCTGAAACTTCTTTCTGGTTGTTCTGCTTCTTCTGGTTGGATCCTGACCTTCACTGTCAGAGCTTCTCAAGGACGGGGCCACAAAACTTCACCTCCTCCCTGCTTGCTCGCGCTTTCCTTCTTGACTGGTTCAGCCGCTTTGGGGGGTTCAAGCTTGGCCTTGAGGTCCTTCAGCAGCTGGATTTCGCGATCGAGCTCTTCCTTGCTGTATGCTGTCTCGTCCGCCTTTCTGGCCTCTTTGATCCTCCTCACCTTGTCGCCCTGCTCCTTGACCTGATCTTCGAGCCCAGAGGCGTCGGAGGTAGTCATCATCAACCAGCTCTTCTGCCGTGCTGTTTGTTGCAGGAGTGAAGGAGGGGCAAGAAGCCAAACTTTCCTCCTGGAGATTGAGCTAGAGCCAGCATGGACAGCGCGAATAGGCAGGCTTGGAGTGTTGAAGCAGTGGCTCAAAGGAAAAGAACTGAAGCAAAACAAGAAAGGCAGGCACCAAAAGGTTCTATGGGTTTTCTTCATTGCTCGAATTACAACAATCCTGCATACAAAATTGAATAAAGGACATGATACATGTACTCTCACAGTATTAGACTCTTATTACTTTCTTGCTTGTTGCCATCGAGGCTTTTCCTACACTTTTCTTCTCATGTTCACTAACTTGCCCGTTATATTTATCTATCATTGCTTCCTCCTCCTGAAAGCCTTCTCGGCGACTCCACTTGGTTCATCTCCCTCCTGCGCTTCTCTTCTTTTCTTCTTATTCCCACTCTCCTCTCCTCCTCTTTCCTTCTTTGCCCTTCCCTTTTCCTGTCTCAGATGTATCTTTCCTTTTCTTCCCTGCTCCTCTTTCCCTCTGCTTGCATATCTCTCCTCTATTCTTCTCGTCTTCTCTCCTTCTCACTTTGCTCGTCCTCTTCTTCGATCCTTCTCTCTCCCTCTTCTTCTATCTTGCTGCTCCTCCTTCTCTTCACTCCTTCAGTCCTTCCGCCTCCATTCGTCCCCGAATCTCAGCGGCCTCCACCTTTGTCCCCTCATCCCCCATCGTACCCCCTGTGCATTCAAGAAAGCCAGCAAGAAAGCACGGGGGGCTAGGCAGCATGGGTGGTTCTGGGAGGCCAGATGGTGGGTGGTGAGAGGGTAGTACGATGAGCAACAAGATGGAGGGAGGGAGGGAGCGAGCGAGCGAGGGGACGAGGGAGCAAGGGAGCAAGGGAGCAAGGGAGCCAGGGAGCCAGGGAGCCAGGGAGCCAGGGAGCCAGGGAGCCAGGGAGCCAGGGAGCCAGGGAGCCAGGGAGCCAGGGAGCCAGGGAGCAAGGGAGCCAGGGAGCAAGGGAGCCAGGGAGCAAGGGAGCAAGGGAGCAAGGGAGCCAGGGAGCCAGGGAGCCAGGGAGCAAGGGAGCAAGGGAGCAAGGGAGCAAGGGAGCAAGGGAGCAAGGGAGCCAGGGAGCAAGGGAGCCAGGGAGCAAGGGAGCCAGGGAGCCAGGGAGCAAGGGAGCAAGGGAGCCAGGGAGCCAGGGAGCAAGGGAGCCAGGGAGCAAGGGAGCCAGGGAGCAAGGGAGCAAGGGAGCCAGGGAGCCAGGGAGCAAGGGTGCAAGGGAGCAAGGGAGCAAGGGAGCAAGGGAGCAAGGGAGCAAGGGAGCAAGGGAGCGAGGGATCGATGATACGATAGACAGCGACGGAAACAAGAAGAGGTTAGAAGGTGGTGAGAGGGTCAGGAGGTAGGGAAATTCTTTGGCAATTGCGTAGGTTGAGTGAAGTTCAACACTTGGAGATGAGACAGACAGGAAGGGCATCGATATCGTGATGGGAGAAAAAGAGCCATAGCTGCAAATGTTGTGCCATGTCTGTGTGTTGTTATGACTCAAGCTCAGGATGAAGAAGATGTATGCAATTCCTAGCTTGCGGTCGATGTTTCGCATTCCTGCAGCCCATTTTTCAGCTGGGCTTGCGCAGAAGAAGAGACGAATTGCGTCAGAGATTTTGAGGGACAAGACCAAATGGAATCTCCTGCTCACCAAGCCCGACGACCTTTCGAAGCTGATGCAGGGGCCGGGACGTGCCGAGACAGTTTGGAAGGTGACACCAACACGCGATTGTTCACCTTGAAGTTTATGACGCCATCTTGGCTGTGTCTGAGTTGATATGTAGAAACTCAGACAGGGAATCGAAGAGATTCATGATATTCAAGTGAACCCAATCATTGTAGAAGCTCTGTGGTATCCCTGGAAATTTTGATATATCAGTTTACAATGACGCAGCAAGAAATGTTATATTCCATCGATAGATGTCAAGAAAGTCACGTTGTCATCATGGTATGTAGCGCTTCTTTTGCTCATCGCCAGATAACTATCAAGTGTTTGCAGTGGGACAAGAAAGCTTCTAATTGCTCTAGAAGACGGTCAGTCCGTAGAGACTGTTCTCATCCCCTCCCCAGAGCACCTCGAATCGGGTAAGAGCAGGACGACCATCTGCGTGTCCAGTCAAGTTGGCTGTGCTCGAGGATGCGTCTTCTGCGCCACTGGCAGACTCGGACTCCGAGGCCAGCTCGAGGCCGACGAGATTCTCATGCAGGTTCTGCTGCTCGCTAGCGAGGGAGCAGGAGAGGAGGAAGGAGATGCTGAGGCGGCCGCAGGTGTTCCATGGGCTGCGGGTGATTCGGGAGGAGAATCTTCCTGCGAAAGTGTCGATAGTCTTCATGGGGATGGGGGAGCCTCTGAACAACTTCAAGGAGGTGCAGCGAGCGATCGAGATGCTCACCTTGCAGGACGCCTTCCGCATCCACCCCAACGCTGTCACCATCTCCACTGTTGGGCCCAACCCCGATGCCATCAGGAAGCTCGCCCAGTGCCCCACGAGAATCGCCTGGTCCCTGCACGCAGCTGACGACGAAGTCAGGAAGCGACTAGTGCCGACCCACACGCACACTGCTGTTGCTTTGCGAGATGCATTCATGGAGGTGATCTTAGCGAGAGACAAGAAGCTGATGCCTCTCATCGAGGTGAGCACACGAGAAGAATCTCTTTGAAGGGATCGACGTTGGAGGACCTAGGAAACGTTGAGGAATAGGTGTAAGAGGATGAAAGAGGGGAAGATGAATCAAGGATGAAAGCAGGAGAGGGAGGAAAACGAGGCAAGAGAGGGAGGCAGGAGGCAGGAAAGGGAGGAACAAGAGAGCGGGAAGTAGGAAAAGCAGGAATGTCTGAAAGCTTGTGCGAGCAGATAACGCTGGTGGATGGGATTAACGATAGCGAGAAACATGCAAGGGACCTCGTCGAGTTTTTCAAGCCCTGGCGAGAGCTCGGAATCAAGATTAAGATCAACCTCCTCCCTTGCAACAGCATAGGTCCTTGTTCCTCCTCCTCCTTGTGCTTCGCTACCATCCCTCTCACGTCCCTTTGCAAGCGTTTGCCTTTCCTTGCATCTCATCTCGATGTTGGGTTTGCAACTTGTCTCTCCGCGTCTTTTCGCTCTTACTCTCGGTCTTCCTCTCCTTCCCCTCGCTCACGTGGAGCTGCAGGGGACCCCGAACTTCGTCCTTCCCATCCAGAGACAACCTTGAAGTTCCGCAACCTCCTTGTGCAGGAGGGCTGCGTCGCCATCATCCGAAGGGCGCGGGGGGACGCAGACGGTGAATGCCACGAAGAGGAAGGAGACGAGGGAGGGAGAAGAAGAGGGGGAAGGAGAATGTGGGAGGTGAAGGAGGGGAGAGGAGGAGGTACTGAAGAACCTCTGGCAGGATCTGCGTGTGGGCAACTATCAGCAGAGATGACGCCTCTCCCCAAGCAAGGGAAAGAGGGAAGGGAGGAAGAGAGAAGCGGCGGGACGGCAGACGTGAAGGTCGAGATCGACTAAGTTAGGATGTAAATAGAAGACGATGAACGACGAGATAAAATTCAGGAAAGGAGAATGGAGCAAGCACGGGGAATGGGCAGAGGGGAAAAGGTGGAGAAGGGACGAGGGAGGGACAGGCGGTGGGAAGTGGAAGAGAAGGTGAGGGGAGGAGGGGGGGGGGGGGGGGGATTTATTTTACAACGCAAGTGAATTAACCGCCGCGAGAGTCGCTTAGCAACAGGCGATATTGCAGAGAATCCTGAGGCCAGCGGATGGAGGAGGAGGATGCGCGACTAGTCCCTAGCGCCATCTCCACGAGAAGCTTCGGGTAACTCTGACCAGCATCGCTCAACTCCTCCGCCGCCTGCATCAGCTTCCTGTAGTGACTCCTCCACGTCTCGCTGCTCATGTGCGTCATCCTCGGTATCTAGAGTCGTTGAGTCTCCTCACCTGACATCTGAGCTGCCGGGAGCCGCAGGCCAGTGACCGAGCAGGAGCATCGCGTCCTGCAGCAGCAAGTGCTTTCTCTCCTTGCTGCGCTCCTCCATGGCACACTCGATGCACTCTCTGGTGGTCTGGCAGCGGCAGTGAGCAGACGCAAGGGTAGACGAGCAGTGAACCTTCTCCAACTCCCAGAGCGACGACGGCTCCTCCACGCGCACTCCCTCGGGTCTAAACTGAACTTGAGCGTTGTGGAGGGCTGCGTCAAGGTCAGGAGGAGGGAGGGAAGGGTTCGGTGAAACAGAACAAGGGAGACAAGGGAGGGAGCAAGAGAAAGAAGCAAGTCGCGCTCCCATGCCTGAGAGAATCTTGGCTTCCTCCGGCATCAAGCCCAGGGTGCCGGCATGCCTGCGAGCGGCTTCTGCAGAGAGTTTGGCGAGCGACAGCATGCTGTAGGATTGATGCTACATGAAAGTTAGCTGAGATAACACGTAACTCTGACGCCTCCTCCTGTCCTCCTCCCTCGTCCTCTCCGTCCTCCTCTCCCTCCGCCTCCCTCACTGCATCTTGAGCAAAGCGGCTCATGGAGAGAAGCTGCTGACTGGCGTAGGCAAGACTGTGCTCGTCCGAGTATCCCTTCCCCAGCTGAGCATAGTGCTCCTTGCTCCTCAACCTGCCCCTCCTTGTCAGCCTCACCACCGGCTATTCAAAATTCCGCATCGTCACTCACGCGTTGACCCAAGACAGATTGTCGCTTGCTCCCTGCGAGCAGTCTTCAGCAAAGTCGATTGTGAAAGGAAGATGCAGATAACTATGATTTAGTATGCAGCAGGAGTGGTTGGGTGGGCAAGATAGAAGCAAACTATCCAAGAGCAAGGAAGAGAACGGGGGAGATCTTGCAGTGTGAGGGTGAGGACCAGGTAGTCGGAGAGGTCGGAAGTGAAGTCGTAGGAGCGGAAGGGAGGGCTCCATAGGTGCCGCACATCCATTTCTCTCATCCTCTGCAACAATTTCTTTGCGTAATCCTTGCTCTTGAACCTGACAAGCTTGAGATCTTGATGTCACATAAGCTGAGCAAGGGGTTCACCTTTCAGCCCAGATGTCGTTGTAGTGCTCCTGTTTGCTCCTCACGATAGCTTCCGACTCACCTGAGAAAAATTCAACAGAGATCATGACGAAAGCAAGAGTCGAGCGAGCAAGGCGAAGGATTGAACTGAAGGCAGGAAGCAGTCTATGCGTAGCAAGGGGGTTGAGAGATGCAACGAGAGCATGAGAGTAGGAGCAAGGTAGTTCAAGAATCTCACCCGTCAGCTCCTGGAGGGAGATGGTCACCAGCACGTCGATTGCTTCAAACTCTTCAGCCAATTTCACGCGTAGCTCGAGTCTGTCCAAGTTGCTGAAGTGCCAGAGGTCGACGTATCTGCATGCCCCCCTCAGAACCTCTCCTGTCCTCACCCTCACCCCCAACCTCATGGGGGCGCTCAAATTCGCCTCATTGAAGATGAGAGCTTTCATGGACGGCCACTCCATGACCAACCTGACGAAGAAGGTGAGCGGAGAGAGGAAGTAGGGGAGGACAAGAATCATACTGCATGAGACGAACGTGAAGCACTTGCAGGTCAGCTAGAGAATTCTCAGCTGAATACTTGTCATGGTGCACTTGGCCTTGTCGCCGAGCAATGACACAGATCTCAGTCACCATATTGATGAGCTGAGAAAGATCCTGCAAACATCGATCAGTCTGCAGGGCAACCTTCTACTTGTTTTTACTGTCAGTGAGTCGACATTGAGCATGTGCGGAACCAGCAGCTGGTCCAGTTCCTCGCTCAGATCGGCATCGATCATGACAGACGAGCCCTCACGCAGGAGGGAACTGAAGAGCTGCTGGCAGACGGTAGCAGCCTCCAGCACCATGGCAATGATCTCACGCCACTGCTCGGGCTGAGGAGACTGTGAGAAAGAGGAAAGGCGTTGCGCCATCTTGCTTGTCAGCCCCTTGAGGATGTGCTCTACCTTGGAACTCTTCTCCCAGAACTTGCGCCATGAGACAGCCCAAGGCCGAAGCGAGTTCTCTCCTTCCCAGACATCAACTGTCGCCTCGATGGCTTCGGAGAGGAAGGACGATCCGGGAAGCAGACTGGGGAGGGAGATCAACAAAGAGCAGGCCTTCATTCTGTCGTGGTAACGCTCGAGCCCATCCACAATTCCGGCTAATTCTCCGTTTTGAAAAATTTCCTTGATTTTTGTGCGATACTCTTTGAACACGCGGATCTTGTTTTCGATGTGCTGCACGTACATCCACTTCTCTCCCAGCACCGAGTCAGGATCCAGGTTGGGATCCAACGTTTCCTCCCGCACAAGGTCAAGGAAGATCGCCCGAGAGTCGGATAACCTGCTCCTGCTCTTTATCTCCTCCTCATTTGAACTGTGAACCAGTTGTACAGTTTCCTGTAGAATTTGATGGTCTGCAGCGCCCGAACGAAGCATCTTGAGAACGATTCCAGCTGATCCTTGCAGGCCGAGATCACCTTGAGATGATTGGAAGGAGCAAATAGCTGTCGGGAGCAGGAGGATGAGATCTGAGTGGCGATTCCTCTCCAACATGGATGTGCCCCATGCCATCACTGCATCGTCGGGGCCTAGACACCAGTCCGTCTCATCTTCGTACTGATTCTCGTTGTGGAAGCTACCGCATCTCACGCTCAGTAGTCGCTTGCTGCTGGCAAAATGCAAATTCATGACAGGCGGGTCGAAAGAGATTGTGGGCGGAAGGATCTTGAAATCTCCTCCCACTCTTGGGTTTGAGGGCAAGACCTGACAAGGCCGAAGTTGATTTAAGTCTGACAGCTGCAGGAAGAAAACAGCTTTCCTATCATCGTCCTGCGAGGCAAGAACCTGCAGACAGCTCTCCTGCCATCGGTTGCTGCTCCCATAAGAATATTCCATTACAAAGTCCACAAACTTCGCCACACCGCTCATCGCCGACTTTGACTTGCAGATGGGCTTTTGAGAGACGACGCATGATCGATCTTCGCTCTCGCTCACTGACAACACCCACTTGTACACCTCATGCTCAGTCAACACGAAGACAAGGAAGTTAGAGCCCGAAGAAGACTTTGCCTCGCCGGTTATCGTGCTGATCTTGTGGGCAATGATAGACTTCACGTACGACACACCAGTGTCTCCTTGCCACCACTTCCCAACAGGTGCCAACAACCGCTGATAGAGCGCACCCTGCTGGAACACTTCAAGCCCAGCTTCAAGAGACTGTTGCATTCCTTCGTCCTTGAACACGAACAACTCACCAGGTGTGTTACAACCGATGATATAGTCTTGTAAGGAGCAAAGCGCAGTCCCTTCTCCAGCAACAAGTCCAAGATCCTCCCACACCCGAAAATCCACATTTGATGACGAGTTCAGCCTGTAGATTGCGAGTCCATCCTGATAAGCCACAGCCATGGAGTATTGAGGTGCTTCAGATCCAAACTCAGAACCCTCGTAGATCACGAGAACTCGCAGGTTGTCCATGCTCCTTCCACGAAGGCAAATCGTGTCTGAAGCAGAAGCTCCGCCCCTCTCGCCCGAGAACTTCCACCAAGTCAAAAGCACGCTGTTAGAGGCTGCATCATTGTCCGCAAGCCACACAAAGCTGCCACAGCAACCACTTCTTGCAGCGGATGTACTGCTCTGTATCCTCCTTTCGAACTCGGGAGGGCAAGGTTTCATCGTGGACCGATTCAACAATCGATTGGCAGGCTCTCCGATCCTCCTTGACGAGTCCAAACGAGCGACTGAGCGTCTTGAAGTGGAAAGCGAGCCTGTGGAGGGAGCAGAACTCTGAGCGCCTAGTCTACGTGAACGAGCTCCATAGAGAAGCATCGTTGAAGGCTCCGCTGCGATAAGTTTCTGTCAGAAATTTTCTGCAGGCACGATGGTTTCATTTTCTAAAACTCACATACCCAAATTCCCAATCACGTCCCGTTCCACCCTCCCCTTTCATTCCCAGCCTCTCCCTCACCTCTCTGATTCGATCTGCTGTGCCCCTCTCTTCTCAAGCCTCTCGCTTTCTTTTCTTGTTGATTGTAAGCGCTGCCCTACATCTCTCTTTCTCCTCTCTTTCTATTCCTACACCCCAAACTTCTTCTGAATTCTGTGCTTCCTCACTGTAAGCGCTATCTCACATCTCTCTCCCGCTCTCTCGCTCCCTCTTCTCCTCGTCTCTCATTCCCGCCTGCACGCGAGACCCTCATCCTTATGTTTAGTTGAAGGTTTAGTTCAGGATATTTTAGTTACAGCTTCGCGGCCCGGCGGTGCCGCCGCCCGCCCGCCGGGTGACTCTCACACCGGCGACCGGGCGCCCCGGGCCGGCGACCGTGCAGATCGGACGGTGCCACCGGGCACGGCCCGGTGCACTCCGAGCCTTGGAGCGTCGGACCCGGCCCGGCCCTGAGTGCCCAGGACTCCGGGAGCCTCCGACGAGAGTCATGGCCGGGAGTAAGTTTGCCATCATGGCATCGGATCATTCCGGGCCACTGTTCAACGGAACCGTCCCGACTGGCCCCGGCCCGTGATATCACCGCCGAGCCGGCGGGGCGCTGAGTCGCCGGGTCCACGGTCCGCCAAGGCCCGGCCGCCGGTCCCCGGACTCCGGGAGTCCGGCCGCTGGCCCATGATTAGTACTACGGTACCAGAAGGACAGGATCGAGAATTAACTAAAGCTATAAGCGAACGTCCGGCGGGGCCGCGGAGGCTTCAACGAGCCTCTGAGTCAGTCTTCTCGGCACGGCCCACTGCAGAGTCATCGACTCCGGCGAGTCACCGTCCGATCACTGACACAGTCCGAGCCTCGAGTCCGAGCGGGCCGCCCCGAGCGACCGTGAGTGACTAGCCCGGCCGACAACTTGAACCGTTTGTCGGCCGCAGTAGTAGAGCCAACTTTCAACCGGCGTGCCAGTGCCGCAGTGCAGTGCCGACGGTGCGTGCAGTCCGTCACACTCAGTGACTGTGGCGGCCTCCGCCGGACTCAGGCCGCGCGGCCTGATTGCCATAGTACGGTCGGTCCGATCCGTGACGAGTCCGACTCTGTAGTACTGATTTTTACTGTTAGTAACAATAACTTAACTTGTCCTTTACTACCGGCGTACTCATCAGTCGGGTCTGATTGTCCTCGTACCGTACTCGGATTTTTAACTCAGTTAACGTGACTTTGTAAGTTGAGTAAACGGGCGGCGGTGGCACGGTGCGACCCTGATCGGACAGTACTGTAGCTTAGTAGTGTGACTGACCGTACCGGACTCAGGGCACTGCGCGGCACTGCGGCATGATACGCCGCCGCGCGCCGATCGCACTACTGACTCACCGTGAGAGTCAGTGAGCCGCCGGCTGCGGCGCCGGGCCGGGCCCGGGCGGGTGCGTGACCACTTGACTTCCGGCCGGGGGCCTCGGGGGCCCGGGCGGTTGAGTGGTTCCAAGTATCCGATCCGAGTCGACCGTACCCGGTACGGTAGCCGCCCTGAGCACTGAAAATGTTCCGACTGCATCGAACTTCGGAAATAAAAACTGGTAATATTCAACACTGAAATGATGCGATTTCATACCTAACATAATGGGACGTATCTAGGGGGTCGAATGTGGGGTATTCTTACCAGCCAAACGGCTGAAAAGACCGGGTACTTGGAGTCAATTTACAAAGATACCTACTTGGCTTGTTTAATATTACCCCCCGATATGACCCAGTTTTAACCGGTGCACATCTGCTCGCGCCTCCCTCAATGCTTCGAAAGCATATGCTGGTCTTCTACTTCGCCTTCTCACCACTCCTTTAGCACATTCTCTCTCCCCCCA